ATTTGAAATAAGACATGAGTAAGACAAAGAAAAAAAAAAAGAAAAACATTTCGTTGCCAAAATTCCAGCAGAGAAGATGTGTATTTATTTATTTACTAAACTTATAGGCATCAAAGGTAATTAAAATGTACAGATCATTTAAAATAGATCTTTAGCTAATTTGCAACTGCTTGTAATATGTACAATTTCTTTGTTTTAAAGTTTATTAAGGAATCAATTTAGAAGAGAAATATATCCATTTCATTCTTCAAAACAAAACAGTATTATCTTTAAATTACTCTGAATAAACATTTACTGTGGTATAAAGGCTTCTTTTTAATTAATGAACTAAAGGACAATATGAATGAAAAAGCACTGACTATAAAGTGGTCATCTTTATATGTTTATCCATTAAACTAGTTCTTCTCTTTATTGCCGCTCCCCACCCCCCATTAGAGTTAAATAAATTAAAAAAAAAAAAAAAAAAAGCTTGGAAGATTTGAAAGTCCTCAAAGTTAAGGCAACTGTCTTTGTCCAATACACTATCCCTAGCAGCAAAGTTAATGATTTGCTAGGGAATACATATTTTTTTATAGCAAATGTTATACTTTCTGTTCAGACACTCTATAGAAGTTCATGCATACTATACAAGTTCTCCAATGAGTCTTATTTCTGCAGCACAGATTTATAAAATATGTTCTTTGAATTTTCTCAGAAGGAGCTCCTACCTTCTTGCTGAGGCCTTTTCTGGACACCATATCTAAAATTTCTAAATCACTGCCAATTCAAAATGCCTTTCCCTTTATGTTTTTCTCCCTATAAAACTGACCAACAGCTAATAAGCTGAAAATTCACCATTTTCTTTTTTTGGTTTATTTATGCATTTATTTATATGTGCATACATCGTTTGGGCCATCTCTCCTCCCTGTTCCCCTACTCTTTCTCCCCCTTGCTTCCAGGCAGAACCTGTTCTCTCTTCTCCAATTTTGTTGAAGAGAAAACATAAGCAATAATAAGAAAGACAGAGCTTTTTTTGCTAGTTTGAGATAAAGATAGCTTTACAGAGAGATTCCTAGCATTGCTTCCATGCACATGTGTATTACAACCTAAATTGGTTCATCTCTACCAGACCTCTTCACTTCTTCCCAGTCACCTTCCCATAGTGATCTCTGTCATTTTAAGATTATTACATTCACTCCTCTCCTGTAGGCACATCAAACACTTTCAAGTTTTGGCTTTTCTACCTTTCCCTAGTCATCCCACGTGTTCTCCCCTTAGTGTGTGACCCATGTTCAATAATAGTACTACATTTTCCCTAGATCTAAAGTCCGCATATGAGGGGAACATACAATTTTTGGCCTTCTGAGCCTGGCTAACTTCACTTAAAATGATGTTCTCCACTTCCATCCACTTACTTGACTAGATTTCATTCTTCTTCATGGCTGAGTAAAATTCCATTACATATAAATACCACATCTTCTTAATTCATTCATCAGCAGTGGGGCATTTTGGCTGTTTCTATAACTTGGCTATTGTGAATAGTGTTGCAATAAACATGGGTGTGCAGGAGCTTATGGAATAACCTGAGTTGCATTTCTTTGGGTATGTATATCCCTAGGAGGGGGATTGCTGGATCATATGGCAGATTTATGTTCAGATTTTTAAGAAGCCTCCAAATTGTTTTCCAAAGTGGTTGTACTAGCTTACATTCCCACCAGCAGTGTATGAGGGTTCCTTTATCCCAACATCCTCGCCAACATGTGTTGTTGGTGGTGTTTTTGATTATAGCAATTCTAACACTTTTCTTATCTACTTCTCTTACTAGAAGGTAAGCTCAACGAGGGCAGGGAAATTTTGTCCTATTTATTTTTATAATGCAAGCAATAGCACAGGACTTGAGATACAGTAAACAGTGCAAAAATACTCTTGAGGGAATGAGTAAAGTATAAAAATATTCATGGGGAAGATATGCTCAAAACTACAGAAGAATGATTACCCTTAGGATAGAACAATGGGGTTAGTTCAATTAAATACTAATTGTAGTATTTTCATTCATTAATAGGATCTAAATAGAGAAAAATGTTAATATTTATTAAACATGGGGGGAGAGTAATGGATGTGTTTTACATAAAAATGTGCATTTTCTATGATTCATATATTTCACATAAATACCTGTTAGTAAGAACCATAAATATTATACCTAAGTAATAAACTGATGTGATCTAGTTATTTGTTGTTGGAAATTTTTCTATGCTTTTGTTATTCTAACATCAAATACTTTTGTTTTTATCAACATGCATTATTTTTATTAGAGTACCTGGAGACTTTTGTTCTAAATTATTAGCTTTAAAGAATTAAAAAACAATTTTTGAGTGCTTTTCTTATAACCAAACATTGCATGACACACTCACTCTGTTGATGTTTGTGACTGATAATAATATGTTTAAAATTTTGAACCTGTAGGGAAGAAAAAAAAACTCTCACCTATCACAAGTTTCATAGCCATGAAACTCTATAACAAAAAATATATTAACAATAAAAAAGCATATAAATTAACTTATAATATGTATGTTTTATGAAGTCTTCAGAAAATGAAGACCCAAAGAAACCGGAAAAACTGTATATATTCTATCTACACTTCTGATGAAGTGCATAGTTGTACAAAAACATCATTGGGCAAAAAGGGGTATGATCCAGTTAATGTTAATAATTTGAAATAAAGTAGGCAACGTCTGTTTGCTAAGATTTTTTAGGGGCATCTCTATGTGACATTCCTTTTCCCTGAGTATGGGACAGGGCCACTTTGAAATGAGGGTTTTATGACCTACTTTAGAAAAAAGTCAGAGAATTTTTATGTGGTCTGAATCAGCGTCATAGACATGTTTCTACTTCTGCTGCTTTTTTAATTGTCAAAGTACCATTTTGGAGGGCTGAACCCCATCAACTCCACTGCACATTTTTGGGCAATCATTTTTCTAACAAATAAATCTGAATCTGATAATCAAAAAAGTCATGGATAATTAAACTGTTTGAAAGAAACTGACACTATAATAAGTTAAGGACACAGGAAAATATCATTTCACTTTGTTATAGTAACTGAAATAATTTGAATAAATTGTACTACTTTGAAAACTTCAGCCTGAAACACACTGTTGTGCTTCCCTAGTCGGCGTTGATTCAGGAGGCCAATGTGAAAGTTTTGCAATTAGTAGTATTTTGAAGTAATGTCAGCAATCATTTTATCAAAGTATAAAAATCTACCTCTTGAAAAAATCATCCAATATGAAACATTAATTTAAGCCAATTCCAGCATGTTTCCAATATTATTATGATTTTAGTGTTAAGTTTATGCTGTAACTGGCTGCATTACATTCTTTATAAAACACCAGAACACAAAGAAATCTTTTATGAAATATCCCTTTAAGGGAAAATATGGTAAAATACTTTTTGCTTTTAAAAGCTTACTTAACTGAAACTATAATAAACAGATAGAGAATACTGATCTAAAAGGAAAATGACTAGTGAACAGGCTTTTGTTTCTGCTTTTTTCATAAAATGAATTGCTTCGTGTTTTAAAAGACAGTGCTAAAAAGATAGCTGGTAACAAAAGGGAGCTAACATTACTTCCTAAAACAGAAAGAGATGAAACAAAAGATCTAGCAAGAACACGAAAAATTTAGCTTAACTGACCAAATAAATTGTCAAACTCGGTTTGACAAATACTGACAGATTCTCATAAATGACTTCTGAACATCAGCAGTCAGGGAAGAGTGAATGTATGACAGATATAAGATAAATGACTTAAAGTAAACAGCAAAACGACTCTGAATATAGCAGATGCAAACAAAAACCACTACATTTGAAATCTGGTGCTGTTACTGATTGTAACTGAGGAAATTCTCATTAACTAATTATATTTCTTGATGGATGAGTTTCAGTCAATAAAATGTGCATAAAATGACAAAAAATAAGACATAACAAAAACTAGTGTGGTAAATAGTCTATTTCCTATTGGAAGAAAAAGAAATTTTATTGAATAGTGCTGCTGGATAAAGGAATACATGGAAAAAGTTAATGTGCCAGTTGCCAAAAATAAAAGAATCCTAAGCCCACAATTTTCTTCGTTGATTAAGTAATAAAATATTTACATTAAAATTCATCTCACTGCTTTTTACCAAACTCTTTTTCCTATTTAGTCTCTTTCATGTGCAATCATGTAGTTATGTAATAATATTCAAAGTCAGTTATATGAGAAAGGTGAGAATTTTGGTGCCACTTCTTTCACACATGAGAGCAACTCCATCATTGACCTTCAGTAATTTTATACTTCCACAAGTAAAAAAACTACACTTTCTTTTTTGAAAGCTTATTACTGATAATTATACTGATATTTAATATTACCTAATATTACCTTTGGGCAAATATCTCTTCCCCATCAATAAATAAAAGAATCAGAAACTAGTTCAGATAAAAATCTTCAGATCCAGTTTTCCTCCCATCTCTTGCTAGAATTCAAGGTAGATAGCTGTGAATGACCATGACAACTCATCTACAGGATAACTTTTCTTTGCAGGCCAAGTTAAAAATTGCTTATGACACAGTAATAAGCCCCATACCAAAGAGTATGATGGCAAGGAAAAAGAATAGCTGTTTTCTCTTATATGATAAAACATTCTCAACACATTTCACCTGGGAGAGCCAGGAATCAGGCATCTTATTTACAATATTAAAGGAAAAGGAAACCTTTTAAGGACAAAGAGCCCTGGTTGTAGTAGTTATGACTTTTGTATGTGACTATGGGTAGGAACAGGGAAGGGAACAGAATAGAAATGGTTACAGAGGACTTGAGAGATTACTACATTATGGAATGTGGAAAAGATAATTATACAAAAGGTCTCTTTCTTAGTTTATATTACTTAATATTCTATAGGCTGGGACAGCAAGGGGAAAAGGGCTGTTAAACCCTAATGATTTTTGTATGTGAAAAGTATACCATGATACATGAGGATGTACAAAATTACCTTTTTCACAGTTTTATCTGGTTCAAGGGCAATATCTGGAATGTTTGCATCAACCATTAGTGAAAACAAATTCAAAATCAGATTTGAATACCTAAGAGAGAAAAACAGAAAAAAAAACAAAAACAGAAAGAAAAAAACATGGGTTAGAAGTTTGCATTTGTTTCTCATATCAAGAATACTTCTAGAAGTGGTGGTACTTGGAGCTTTACAATGATTACTATTAATCCAGTGAAAATAGAATGTAACACAATTCATCAGCTATCTCAAAGAAAAGCAAGCCTTGAAAAAAAATCTCATTTTGGAGTCTTTCATATAATACCATTTCTAGGATCCATACTATGAAACAAACTTTTGGGTACCCATCTAATAATGAAATTCTTTTCTTTCTTTACAAAGTATATTCTTTTTAGGGCCAGGCACAGTGGCTCATCTCTATAAATCCAGCAGATCAGGAGGTTCACAGTTCAAGGTCAGCTTGGATAAAAAGTTAGTGAAACCCCTTCTCAACCACACAACTGGACTTAGTGGTGTGTGGCAGTCCGAGCTCTTAAACATTTTCCCTAGGACACTTAAGCTGAGTGGCCCCTTCTTATCACTATTGTGACACCAAGAAATTCAGGATTGACTTTGGGGATAGATGTGAGTAGAGGAAGTTTTGGCCTTAGGTAATGAAGGTTTTTAGCTGGTCTCAGAAAAAGGGTCAACACGACTGCCTTGCGTTTTCTTCTCTAAAAATGGAGGTTAGAATTTAAGTAATACAAAAGCTTTATTCCAGGCATTTACCTGTGGATAATAAAAGTGCACAAGCTATTAGTTAAAAGCTGTTTAATCCTTGAGTTATACTGGCAATGGAACTTACATACAAAAATGACAATTCATACAGGATTTTCAAATTACCCATTTTATGATTTTTCTGCATTTTATATTACACATGAAAATCAAGAGGGACTATAATGAAAACTTCTACCTTGACGCAGTCTTGTAATTGTCTCTAACTCACTTAAATACTTGACGATAATTGCTAAACACTTTAACCTAGCTTTAAGTTACTGACTTCCTTGTGGGAACTGATAAAAGCATACTACCAGGTGTCCGCTTCTATTCATACAATTTTGTTCATTCAACCAATAAATATTTACTGAGTACTGAACTAACCATATATGCTGTTTTAGGCACTAGGGATACAGTGGTGACTAAACAAGCTCCATACATTCATGAAGGTTATGGCTGTGAAGGAGGGTGTAGACTCAGATAATAAGCTGATAAAATAATTTTATGTCTGCTTGACTAAGAAAAAGATTTAAAAAAAAAACTAAAAATAAAGCCAAGGAAATGAGCAAGAGATTGATGGAACAGGGAGAGAAGGAATGATGGTCTTATCTGAAATGCATTGGAGAGACATACTCTGGAACACATTTTTAAAAGCTCACAATGGTTTCTTATAAGGAGTAAGAATGGAGGTAGGGAAACCATGTCACAGACTTCCAGATGGAAAAGAAACAACATAAAGGCCATCAGGCTACATTGTGGGGATAGAGTATATGATACTTCCTGATTGTTTCAGTGGAGGTGGGGTGGAAGATAGAGGAACTGAATGTTACTAGATTGATTTAGTTTAAGTAACTGATAACAAGGTTATTCACTAAAATAAGAAAGACTCTATGGAGGAGGAACAGGGTATCAGGTAAGGAAGAGAAAACTCTGTATTAGACAAGTGGAGGTTGAAATTCCCACTAGATTCTTAGCAGACAGGTCAACTATGTCATCAGGTGTATCTCAGAGAGGATATGAGGGCTGACTGTATTATGAAGCCATCAGCTTTTGAATCATTCTGAATCAAAACTGGCTAAATATGGGAAAGGAAACACTTTGGGGGGAGGCCAGAGATGACCAGCCTTAAACCCTGTATAAAGATAACAAAACACTTAGAAAGTTCAATGTGTAAAAGTTAAAGGAGGGAAGAAATTAGTGAAGAAGTAGGAGTGGGTAGTGAAGCAAGAGGAAAATAAAGAAGTAAGTTACACTTAATCTGAGAAAGGCTTTCACGGACAAGGGGATGCTAACTGTGTCAAAAGTTGCTAGGAAGCAAAGTGATCACTGGATTTGGCATAGGTAATTATTTATCTATTTTAGTAACAGAGTAGAAGCCTTACAAAGACAGCTGAGGGAAGAAAAAGAGTGATAAAGACAGTGAGAAGAACACAGATTGCTGGAAAAACAGAAATACAATGTTTACCAATATCCCTGGCCTCTTCCACTTGATGCCAGTTGCACTGACCCAGATGTGACAAGCAAAACATGTCTCTAGACATTGCTCACTCTGCCCTTTGGGGAGAAGTCCCCCAGGAGATAGCCACTGACTTTAACTTTGTGGTTAGAATACACAGTTGTTTGATTTTCTTCAGTTTCAAACAATTGTGTCTCTGGACAAATGAAATAGGAAGGCAGATCATTCTGATCAGAGATGGAGTTTTAGCTGGTGAGGGTCCTGAATAAAATGTCCTAATTGTAGTGATTATATTTTTGGGCCATAAAATTTAGTGGAGGAAACAGTGAGAATGTGAGGCAGATTATGCATGATGGTAGGCTGACAAGAATAGAACTATCAATGAAGTAGAAGATCTGAAGGAATAGGGTCACATTTAAAACTAAACTGAAAGGATACAAGTGTCACTCAAGAGCAGAAAGTTTGGAGTGTAGACTTTGGAGGGATAAATTACTATTATTGATTAGAGGCAGGTTCTAAAAGATGAGGACAAATCCAAAGAGTCCAGAGGTTGGCTGAACCATCCATGTGGATACTGAAGTCACAGTAGTAGTCCCAAAGAAGACAACAAATTTCAATGCAGAGTATGAGGCAGAAACAGGTTGATGATGATTAGCACGAGGTAACACATCTGATAGTGTGAGCTTCAGTTGAATTGTGTGAGTGTTCATTTGTATTCTTTATAATGCAGGTAAAAAAATGGTTTGAAAGTGGCAATAAGGGACAATATGGCTATCCTTCTCAATGGAAATAAAGATGATCCACTTGAGAGGGCTGCAAGGAACATGGTGTCAGTCGAGTACAGCTAGCTGCTACATACAGTGTTATAAAAAAATGTTCTTTTAACTAAGATTCAATTATTCATACTCTGCTTTGTTGCTTATGCAGTATCTTCCTATCTTGCCAGGAGGGAAACCTTAGGAATGTACTACTAGAAAGAGAATACAAGGTTCAATTTTGAAAAAAAATATACATACATACATATATATATATATATACACGCATATATTTGTGTACATATATATACGCATATATATGTGTGTGTATATATATATATTTGTATCATCAGTACCTAACATAGTGTTTGCATAAACATGGTTTAAAGAAGTTTTGTTTTCTTTGAATACGTAAGTTTAAAATGTTTCAGTATTACTATCATTGCCCTAAGAGTAAAAATAAATTTATCAATTGATTACTGTGTAATATGTATTGCTTGATTAAAAAGAGATAATATATTTTGTCACATGAAAATCACCACACCATTAAATGTGTTCTCTTACCTACACAAATGTAATCATTCATAGACTTAGTTCAAAAGAGATTCCAAACAAACTTATGAGTATAAAATCAATTTGTATGTCCTAAAGGCAAGTTTTTTTCTAACCAAACCATAATGTTAACCAAAATATTAAGAGTCCATCTGATCTTAGTTGAAATACAGTGAAACTTTTAAAACTGAAAAATAAAATTTTTTATGAACTTAGCTTAAGATTATTGAGATTAATCCTTTTGTGATTTTTCTTTGTAGTGAAGTGTAGTAACCTGCCTTGTTTTTACACTCTACTGAATTCGTACTAATCTACTACCAACGACAGTTTATAAAGCACATTGTTTTCCTTTGGCTCTCAATAAGATAGCTTTAGCTATCATTCCATAATATCTCTTCACTAAGATCAGCATGGTTCCATGTAGTTTAATATAGGCTTTGACTATTTCAAATTAAAAATCCCAAATATCAAAGAGTAAACTGAAAAAACTTTTGCATCACTAAACAAACTGAAGGAATGATGATCTCATTACTCTTTTAGCATGTCTGGAGAGTAAAACAAGAGTCATTCTGTCACCAAAACCATAAATAATGCAGCTATCTGTAAAACACATGGCATAGTATTTGTGACAAATAAAGACTGTCAGTTTAAAATGAGGCAATTTAGGGGCTAGAGGTATGTTCAAGTAGTAGAGTGCTTGCTTAGCAAGCTCAAGGGCCTGAGTTCAAACCTAGGTACCACCAAAGAAAGTAGCTTGGAGACAATGAAAATCTATTTAGTCTAGGCAAAATTAAGATTTACGGTTTTTGGGGTTTTTTTGGCGCTACTAGGGTTTGAACTTAGGGCTTCACTCTTGCAAGGTAGGCACTCTACCACTTGAGACACTTCACCAGTCAAAAACAAGAATTAATATAGGACAGCCATTCCCCTAAGAAAAACAGAATCAATATCACTCAGAAACATGGTACGAAAGCAGAAATTTGGGGTTGGGGGGGTTCTATTCAAATATTTAGCAATGCATTAAAAAAATATATACTGAGTGTTGTTCTAAGCACTACATGAACAACTGAGGTTACAGAGACAAAGGCAGAGCCCACAGGCAACTGACTGACTACTGGTTGTATTTTCACATGGAAGAGTTTGCAGATATGGCTCCTGCATTGGGATTGTCTGTTGAACTAAGAAAATTCATTCTGCATATTAAGGTCAAAACTCCCATTAGAGTCGAATGATCCTGTCATCTTTACTGACTAATCATCAGAACATGATTATTTTCTGACCTCTATTCATGTTCAAATAAACATGACTTTTATTTTGTTCCTGATGATATATGGCATTCAGTCTTAAGTAAATTGGGTTCAAAGAAGCAGAGATATAGTGACATTGAAGAAAAAAAAGAGCTAGAGAAAAATCAACATCTTTTTATAGCAGGATGAGTGCAGAGGTATTAAAAAGACAAAAATCATTTACTCTTTTATCATTGAAAAACTTCTGAATGTTCCTAAAGAACATCCCAAGCTGAGGGTAATGAAGGTGCTAAAGAACAAAAATGAATGAACTAATATCCAGCTCAGTAAGTTAAATGCTTCATTCTTTAGAACTCAGCAGTGACTGCAAAGCTCAGGACCGCCTTCAGGGAGATCTGAATGGTGTGAAGCTTCTTAACTTTTTCTCTATGCCAGTACTGTCAAAGTACACAGAGCACAGCTCATTACAATGATGTCAAGCCCTAACTTTGAAGCCCGCCTGTTTGCTTCATCTTGTATAACGCTTAGCTAGGGAGAATTTAGCAATGTGATAATTAGTGAGATAGAAGAAATTTTGTGTCTTTTTCCTTTGGTATCAGACTGCTTATCAAAACAGGTATCAGGTGTATATTAACAAATATTGCTGTCTGTGTCATTCTGAAAAAGGAAGTAATGCTAATGAATGCATACATCTGAACAACTTACTTACATGCTCTGTAAAATAAATTCATCAGAATTCTCTGTGAAGCAAATCAACTTACCTTCGAAGATGGAGAAAAGCGGTGTAACACTGCTTACGGAACTCTTGGTACTGCTCACTCTGGGTGCCCCCCATTCCTTCTACCATTTCTTTATTCAGTTTCATTGGAGGAGGAAGGGGCTTCGGATCTCGACCCAATATATATCCAAAGTCTATGTGGAAGAGTTTGCCTGAATGTTGAAAAGAAACTCATTTGTTTCCAGAATTATCCTTAAAACTGGGAAGGAAATATGTCATATAGTTGGTATAAACAGTGTCTTTTCATAAAAAATATTAGTTCATGGTGGGGGCATGGCTCAAGTGGTAAAGAATTTGCTTAAAAGCACAAGGTCTTGACTTCAGTCACTAGTACTATCAAAAACAAAACAAAGACAAATGTGAAATCTAGTTCTTAAACACAACATGACTGACAGGACAGTAAAACATGTTCTGCTTAGGAATGGCTATCAGTGGAAGGTCGGGGGTGGGGAGCAGATAGGAGAGAAAGAAAAGAAGAAGGTAGGGTGAATATGGCCGAGTACTTTGTATGTATGCATGAAAACAGAACAATGAAACCTGCTGAAATTGTTTTAAGAGGGGATGGAGTGGTGGTGAGGATGATCATGGGAGTGAATTTGACCGGGGTGCACTGCATGCATGTATGAAAATATCACAATGAAATCCCTTTGTACAGCTAATATATGCTAATAAAATGTTAATAATTAATGAAAAATAAACAAGTTTTTTATTAGCTCACTAAATTGATTATTTCCAGACTTGAGAGTATCCTTCAAAACGTAATTTAAATCATTTAACTCACATTCATTCAGATCAAACTAAGCTTAAAATCATCTCACAGTAATATTAATTTAAAAATTTAAACCCTATATTTAGGTCTCCAGAATCAAAGACAGTCAAAGTCTGGAAAACCTTTTAGGAGTCAGCAGAAACTAGTAGTAGCAAATTTCTCCTGCTAATAAGTTTTGTTGGGTTGCCCTCTATGTAATAGACCATTTCTTTTACTTAAATATTCCTGGGATGAAACCCTCCTTTATGACTACTCAAAAAAAATTTCCCCAAATTTCAAATTATATTGTTATCTCCATTTGTGAACAATCTTGAATTAATCTGTGTCACACATTAGCTGCAGACTAGGAAACCAAACACAGTGTTCATGTCTGCCAAGAGCAGAACAGCTGCAGTTCCTGTTCAGATAAACCTTATACTAATCATCTAAATTCACAGGACAACAAGGAATATGATAATTAACTCTAGAGGATGATTCACCATAGAATTCGGTCTTATGATTTAGAAATAGACATTAAGTATGGATGCCCTGTTAACACAAAAAGCAACCTTATGGTTGCTTTTGCTGTTCCATGGCAAAGATTTAGGATTTATGGCTGTTTGTGCCCTGCCGTATCCTAGCCTCAAAATAGTTTCTGGCACATAGTGGGCACTTCCTGAGCCACACCCCCAGCCACTTTTGCTTTAGTTATTGTTCTAAGAGGTCTTGCATTTATGCCCTTGCCAGTCTGAACGGTGATGCTCCTATTTATGCATCCTGAGTAGCTGAGATAACAGCTCACACTATCATATCCAGCTTTGATTGCTTGAGGTGGGGGTCTTGTAAACTTTTGCTCCAGCTGACCTCCAATCATTATCCTCTGGATCTATTTCTTGAGTAGCTAAGATTGTAATTGCAAGACACTATGCCTGGCATACAACCTATCTATTCTTATAACATCTTACGACCTGCTTTACATGGAAACTTCTCCCCCATTGTATTATTTGGGAAACTTAATTTTTTTTGCCCTCAAGAGTAACAGCCAAAGGCTTATTTTCTTAAACTGTATTTATTGAATTTTTGAACACTTTGAAATATTTTTACAAATGGACCATATACTTAACTATATTTTTCTGTCTACTACTTTGCTTAGGCATTATTACTGACATTAGGCCACTGAAAGAGCTTGTCATTGAAAGAATGACAAGCATAGAAATGACTGATTATAAGGCAATGTGCAGGTCAACAGGGATGAAATGGCAGTGCTTGAAAGCAGTAGCAGAGCTACGTGTAATACAAAAGAACTTTCGTGTCTCACTTCATCAAACATGCGACCTTGACAATGCTGCTTAAGCTCTCTAAACTTTACTTTCTAAATTGTAAAATAGGGTAGTATTGATAACTACCGCAAAAGGCAGAATTAAAAGGGAATACAACTAATTATGCATCACCTGGTACACAACAAATACTACAGACACTAGTTACCATGATTATTTTTACTACTGTTCTCAACTAAATTGTGTAGATGGGCGTGCAAACAAAATAACTACAACACCTTGACTAAGACAAGAATGATTACCTCTATAGTTTTGTCCCATTTTAGAAGGTGTGCCACTAAGTCAGAGAAGGAGAAGCACATTTTATTATGATGGGGCTTATTCAAAACTAAACCAAGGCATTTACTGTTTTATGATCAGGTCTCTTCAAGCTGGTAAAAATGTTATGTCTTCAAATACTACTTAAAAATTTAAATTATGAACTTTGCTCAAAATTAAAATCTTAATGTTTAAATATGTTTGAGAACACTGAATTGACATTTATATGTCCATTATATCTGAGAGGCACAACTGCCAGGAATTAGTAAAGTTAAACATTAAAAGAGAAGAGCAACCTTAGCCTTTGCAACTCTTAGGTTTCTTTCTCCCAAGAAAAAACTAAATGATAAACTAAGTTGGATATTTTAGATAACTTTGAAATTAAGAAAGAACTTAGAGAATCTGCCATGGTCAGACAGGTTAAGAAAAAACAAGTCTCTTAGGTAGTTATGGCATTAAATTCAAGTAAAATTTTAGATAGACAGTAGTACTATCTTCATATAAATCTAAAGAAAATTGGCCAGGTTAGTGGTTTATGTCTGCAATCCCAGTCACTCGGGGGGTGGAGATTGAGACGATTTAGTTTGGGAACAATTCAGGCAAAAAGTTAGTGAGACTCCATCTCAACAAATAAGCTGAGTGTAGTGGAACACACCTGTAGTCCCAGTTATGCTAGAAGCCCTAAGTAGAAAAATCAGAGTCTAAAGCCAACCAGGGCAAAAATGTGACACCCTATCTGAAAACTAACTAAAGCAAAAAGGACTAGAGGCATGGCTCAAGTGATAGAGCACTTGCCTAGCAAGCCTAAAGATCTGAGCTTAAAACCCAGTATCCCAAGAAAGAAGGAAAAGGAAAGAAAAGAATACTAAAATTATCTAGAGTGGACAGAATATGTACCAAATATGAGACATGGGCTTCACATATAAAAAGAAATATTCTATGTATGAATGGTCATAGTAACAACTACCCAGAAGTGTATTGTCTGAAGGTGGAATAAGTAGTTACAATATAACTACTGCACAGAAAACCACATTTGTTAAAATCATTTCCTTGTCTTTTTTATGTATTTGTTTTTTAACTTATAGCAGGTGTAAAACATTATGGTCAAATTGGAAAAATGGTCAGAATCGTATAAGAATTGATTGATTTTTAAAAATGGTTATTTCTAGTATAAATGGCACATGTAGGAGGGAGAGATGAGAAGAAATTATATTTAGATAAGATCGCAAAGAATCTCTAGAGAATGGAAACTTATTTGTTTCCAAAACATAATAAAGGTAGTAAAGACTTAGCTAAATGGTTCCTCTAGCTCATCAATGCATTTGGTAAGGCTGTCACTCCATCTCTGCTAATCAAAAACCTTATAGTGGATATCAAAGTCATTTGCTCACTTGGCTCTACTCCCCCCTACACTAAACTCTTAATAAACCAGTTATGGAGACTCATGTCTTATGTCCTGAAACCTAGGACAATTCTTAGCACACAGGAGTACTTAAGTGCATTTATTTGACCAATGCAATCTTAATTCCACGGTTACAGCTTAGACAACTTTTAACATTGCTGATGCCAGAAATTCTCTTCTAGAAGTTTGACAGTTGTATGCGAAGTTGTTTAGCTTTAGGTTTTTCCTTCACCTCTATGATGATCCATATAAAGTTACAGAGGCTGAGTACGGATCACCTGAATGCCACCCTATACTTAGTAATACCCTGTGATTTCAGTGTTTGAGGGTTGTTATCAAACAACAAAGCTATTTTATTTGTTGCCAGATAAAACTGACAGAATAGAAGCAGAATTAGTTATATCGATGCTCCTTGATTTATGACGGGGGCTTCATCCCCATAAACCACATAAGTTGAAAATATTATGAGTCAAAAATTCACTTACTGCACCTAACATACAAACATCACAGCTGAGTAACAGTACACCACTGAATGTTGTTTAGTTATACTCATGACTGCATGGGTGACTGGGAGCTACGGTTCATTGCCACTGCCTAGTAAAATGAGACTATCATAAAACACACTGCTAGCAAAAAAAGATCAAATTAAAAATTCAAAATGCAGTTTTTAATGACTTCATATCAATTTTGTGCCACTGCAACTTATTATTGAAAAATCAGAGATTATCTGTATCTTGAAATTATATGGCATCGAGAACAAAACAGAAAGTTTTAAGTAGTTCAAGAAGAGACAAGCAGTTTAAATCTTCCCAGGGATACGATAGGAAGAGCATTCCATCTCAAATTCACTCTATACTATCTATAATATACTCACATTGTTGAGTAGCAACTTGTGCAAGGCCCTGGGTTCAATTCCCAGTATCACCACAAAAGTGAAAAGTAAAGTAAAGAAAAGAGAAAAGAATAAAACCCCTCCCTTTCAGAATCCCAAAATGGGCTTCACCAGTCTCTAAACACAAATGAAAAAAGTTTTAGGGAGTTCCATATACTCTACTAGATTCGTAAAGGAAGTCTATGATTCAAAAATATGAGGAACTAGTTTTAGAGTAAGAAATCTGATCGCTGTCATGCTCACTGAAAAAGCATCTCCTAGTCTTTTAATGAGTTGGTGAAAAGTTAATGATCTCATTGCCTTTGACTAAACATACATTCTCGGTTCGTTAAGTGGTTTATTCACATTTTGAAGTTCCCAGTGATTGTCTACCTTTTTGGATACATGCCATTCTATCCTTCAAGAGATAAAGCAATGAGAAGCTCACGATATTTTAAGTGTAAAGGTAGTCTCCTTAGTTTTATTTAATTATGTAAATACTGTTTTGTTAACAGTGTAATTCCTACAGATAGTTG